GGAAGGTGACGAGGATGAGACTGGCACCACCCTAAGGAATTCACAATGTTTGCTTGCTGGCTTGGGAAGTTTAGATTCAGTCTGGCGAGATTCTCTCTTGTAGGTGGAAGCTGATAAATGCAATAGAACTGTATCTGTACTGTCCCGTGGAGTTCTTTGGGCTGCACCTGACAGTCTCCCAAGGTCTTTCCCACATACCATTGCATCAGTGGACTTAAAGGACTATAAGAAGGGATAATAACACTTAAGTGTTATTCATCCAGACAGCAGACTGAGCAGGTTTGGAGAAGTTCTGTGCTACAGTGTTCCCCATTATGGTGCAATGTGTTTCTGTTCAAATTGTTGTAATGAATTATGACCACATTTGCACCTGTACATCTGCATTAATATATGCAAATCTGTGTCTTTTTTTTAAACGAGGCATATGTGGCCATTTTAATGGTGCACAGCGGGGTAGACTATTTTGTAAGGGTTCCATCACTTTGTGTAGCTTCCCCCAGCTCAAGCACCATTCTGTGTGGACTTCACCTCCCAAAATTCTTAGCAGTGACCGTTTCAAGTGGCAATAGTGGGAGCAGAAGTTTATCCATCTAAGGAAGTCTCAACATGGAAAGTTAGAATTAAACACCAATCCATAGTAATTCCATCTTTCCCTCCTTGATGCATATTTATAGAAAGAAAGTAGATGGAACTAACGGTGTGAAAATGCAGGAAGTTTACAAATAAAGATATCATTCTCTGAATCCCCCTAATTTCCATTAATAAGCAAGGATGCTTGTACAATGATGCTTCATTTGAAACCAGCTACCTGTTCAATAGAAATTAAGCCTACAGAGATGTCAGGACTATGCAAAGTCTTTGAAAGAGATTTTCAAACGCTGCTTCTGGCTCTCTATGTATGCTACGTATGGCCATATTATTTCACTGGGCATGCCTCCATGTGCAGAGATAGTGAGGAATCACGTTCAAAGAACATGTGAGCCTTGTATAAGACATAGCTGCTTTCACTTCATACATGCTCTTGCTCTTTTGAAGGCTTTGCACAACCAGAAACAGGATCGCCTACATCTAATTCCACATCGTATCTAAATGTATTACTTCCTGGAGTGGAAATGAAATGGTGGGGAATGATACCCCTACTTAAGACCATACACTTTTTTTTTTTTTCAGTGATGGGTTTGTCCTTATGGGCCAACTAACCCAGCCACATGAAGGCCAAAATTCAGACATCCAACAGACAGCTGTCCAACCTCTTCCTGAGCCCCCTCAACAAGGAAAAGGTCATCCATCCTTAATTGGTTCCCTTATCAAACAGCTTTTACCCTGATGATGTTTTAATTTTTAACCAGATAGACCCTGTTTCTGTTTTTATAATATTTTTGGAAAGCGGACATCTTAAATTCAGGGTCTTCTTTCCCTTAGGTTGCTATTTCTCTTAGTACCTCAAGGAGAGCATTTTAAGGAGTCACAGGTAAAAAAGAAATATGTAAAGCTTCCTTCTGTATGCACTGCAATCCCAACTGAAATTTTTGCCCTACGCCTTCTTCTGAATAAGAGGAAACAAATTACCGACATATGTGCATCTTTGTAACCATTATGTAGAATCATATGGTTGGAAGGGACTTTGGGGACCTCTACTCCAACCCCTTTCCCAGGGCAGAACATCCCAGACAAAAGACTGCCCAAGCTTTGCTTGAAAGCCTCCTGTGATGGAGCACCCAGGCTTTTCAATTGCTTAATAGCTCAATTGAACACAGTTGACTTGTACAACTTCCAACCATTGGTTTTTGTTCAACTCTCTTGCACCATGGAGAGTAAACTAATATCCTCTTCCCTGTGATAGCCCTTGGAGTAGCTGCTAGTTGGAGCTAATAAAAATTATTTGATGGTGACTCTCTCCCCCACCCCCAGAAGATAAACCAATACAGATGAGTCTGTCTAAAATGGGAAGCATCTTCAATACTGCCATCATTTTCAATTGCACAGCCAGCCTAGACCATGAAAGCAAGAGGATAAGATGGCTTATTCCCTGACCTGAGCATGAACCTAGAAGGACACGCCTGATACTTTAGAACTGTTTAGGGTGAACAAGTCAGAAAACTGTCAGTGTTTAAAAATGTGCCTGAGATCAGATGAGCACAAGAGGCTTGACAACAATGCAAGTGGATGGAGTAACACAAAGAAACTGCATTTAGCTACAGCTGTTCCGGTCCAGTCAGTAAAGACAGCTTAGAAAGCAAAAGCATGGATGTATTAAATTACTAGTACAAATTAGTAATACAAACATGTGTGGTGGCCTGTAACTGCTAATGTAAGCTTGTCATATGCATGTAATAGTAATTTATCGGCTGATATTTGCTTTGGTTTTCTCCCTGCCCTTTTCCTTAAGCAACTGTGGCTGCTATTCAAAGCCTATTGGAAGGTCTCTTTTTTCCCCCCAATGATTTCATTCAGTTTTGGGCCA